GGGACATCCAGCCTTCAGAACTGTGAGAGATGCATGCCTGTGTTTAAGCCACATACCTATGGTCATGAGTTATGGCAACCTGAGCAGAGTACACAAAGGGAGTATGCTGGAGGGAGAAAGGGACAAGATGACTGAGTGTATATGCAGGGAAGTAAATTTAATGATGGGTCTGCAGTTTAACCCAGGTAAGAAGAAAAGCAAACATGGTGGTGGGGCTGATTGATGGATAACCAAACATGAATAAGATGATTGGATTGGAAGTCCCAGTGCAGTTGAAGCTATAACTGGAATGATATGAAGGTATGAGAGTAGGACTCTTGACACTGAAATCATGAAAGTGATGTTGCTATTGGTAATGATAGGATCTAGGAATATAGTTTTAAAACAAAACACTAACATATTGAAAGCAAAGAGTCAGAGAACTGAGAAATCAGGATATTAAATGGATTGTCTATGGGGATGATGAAATTACTAAGAAAAATTACTGGAGGAGTAATTCAAAAGGCAGAAATTCAAAAGACAACATATTCAAGGAATGGATTCAGATATAACTGCATATATTTGATTGATGTTTAAAAACAAAATCAACAGAAATTTGTCATGAAATAAAAGGGGATGGAGAAAGGATAGGGAGAGGGTGCCATTAAAGACAACCCATTGGTCTCTGACTTGAGCCACCAGACAAGTCATGGCATTATTTCTAAGTTATAGAAGGATGGTAAAAGGTATGGAGTTTGATCTTTGTATAGAATTTCAAGCGACTATGATATACCAAGTGATATTGAGTAGATGGGCTAATATATATTGGTCTGGTGCCAAGAGAAGAGTCCATCTTGGAAATAGAAATCTGTGAAGTATATGAGATGGGTGATGGCTGAATTCATAGGACTGGTGGACTTGCCTAGGAGGTATGGAAAGAGAAGAGGAAAGGGCAGAGAGTTGGACTTGAGTAATTTTGATATTTAAAAATGAGCAGACTTAGTATGAACCTCTAAGGGAGATTGATTAGAAAGCAGAAAGGCAGTGGGAAACCAGGAGAGTATGAAGTTATAGAAGCCAAGAAGAGTCTTGTGAAAAGAAAGATATAGCCAATAGTGTTGAAAGTTGAGGGGACAGAAGATTGAGAGAAAAAGATGACCTAGGATTTAGTAGCATGGTGGCCATTGGTGACCTTTGTAAGAGCTTCTTAAGTGGACTAATCAGGTTGGAGGAGAAATTAGAGGTTGATAACTGAGGCAGACATAAGGAAAAGGAGAAAGTAAAAGTAGGACAGACCACCTTTTCAAGAAAGGTTGCCTATTAAAAGGGGAAGAAAAAATGTGTAGCAGCTGGAGCAATTGATGATATTAAGGATAAAGGTTTCATATATATATATATAAATAATAAATTATATATTTACATAGAATTTTAAATATATAATTAAAAATAATAGATTTTATATATAAAATCTTCACATACACATATAAACAAATATACATGTATATTCACATACATAAATATATACACATATATAATTTATATAATGTATATATTTATAAAATACACATTTTTAATGGAGAAAGCTTGAAGCTATTTAAATCTCAATACAATGTCTATAATTGAAAGGGGAAGTACACAAAAGTATCATGTTAGAAAAGTTTTTAAGGGATAGTAGAAAAGCAGGAAGGATGGGGTCCAAATTGCAGGTAGTGAGACAGATTTTAGAAGGACTAACACCTCTAGTGTAACAGAGAATAAAGGAACCCAGACTGCAAAATGGACCCAGAGTCAGGCATCTTATTGTGTTCTATCTTCTCTTTTTCTGAGTGATATAATTCTTTTTTACAAGAAGCTATTGTTGGGGTAGTTGCAGTGGACTTTGTGCTCTCAAAGCAGCAGGGAAGAAACAAGAACGCCAACTCTGCCTTCTGCTGCAGGCAAGTTTGTAAGGTGTGAGAGAAGAAACAGCTACCACTCGAGCAGATTGTGGGAGAAGCAGCCTTTTGAGGTTTCAGCTAAGGAAAGGGTGGCACTCAGAAAATGTATGGAAAATGTAGAGGAGTTTGATATTTAGGAGGGCACAGGGGAAGGTTTGGGTGGATCATGATGACTAAGAAAAAGTCTGTTGATTTTGGCAAGAAGATCATTTTCAACCTAAGATTAAGTCGTTTCAGAAGTAGTTTAGCAGAACAATGGAGGTTACTGCAAAGGATTATAAAGTGAAAAGCAGACATTTCATTCAAGGAATTTGGCTGTAAGTGAAAGGAGGAAGACAGAATTCAAATCTGGTTTTTGTTTTGTTGTGTTGTATTTTTTATAATCCAGCTAATTACCTATGGATTTCATTTCCATTTTGTTTCTTAATATGAACTCTAGAGTCAAATTGACTTTCTTCCATAATACTTTCTAAAATCCTTTTTTCTTTGTTTTCATGCTTTAACCTCTGCCTAGAATGCCTTAAATTTTTTTTTTCCTATGTAAATACAGCTTTTCTGGTAAGACCCATTAACACCTACCTCTCAGTATTGTCTGTTATATATATATATATATATTTTCACTATTAGACAATTCATTTTTGTTCTAAAACCATTTGAAAAATATATGAAATTTAGCCAGGCACAGTGGTGCACACATGTAATTTCAGCACTTTGGGAGGCAAGGTGGGTGGGTCACTTGAGCCCAGGAGTTTGAGGCAAGCCTGGGCAACATAGCGAAACCTTGTCTCAAAAAAAACTATATATACATGTATTTAAATTGTATATATTTATACAATTGCATATAGCTATACAATTGTATATATTTATGCAATTTAAATATATGTAAATATAGTTTTTCATTTTATATATTAAATATATATACATATATTCAAATTGAAATTGTAAATCAAAAATAAAATAACCCATATTAAACCTTCCTTCATATATATTATACTATGTATATTATTAATACTAACACTTAAAAATTAATATTACAAAGTCTTTTCTGTTTCACTAAATATTTATAACAAAATTTTAATAACTATCTAATAGTCCATGGTATAAATGTACCATAATTCATTAACCAATCTCCTAGTGTTATTTCATTAAGGTAATTTGTTTTTTCCTAGTATAAGTAAGACACTATCTTTTACATAATTGTTTGTGTACATAGTTAATGGTATCGTTAGGGTTGAATTTCTTTAAGTAGATGACTAAGTCAGAAGATATGTATGTTTTTTATAGACTCTGGATATATAGAGGTGAATCATTTTCCAAAAAGGCTATAATGAATTATCCTTCTACAAGCAGCATATGAGTGTTTAGCATACCCACTCCATTGTCAACATAGAATATTTTCTAAAATTTTAATTTCCAGGGTAGAAAAATGGTTTCTCTCTGGGGTTCTAAGCTATGTACATTTAATTACTAATTAAGTGATTTTTTAAAATAACTATTGGTCACTGGCTGTTTTCTTTTCGTGTTAAGTGATTTTTTAAAATAACTATTGGTCACTGGCTGTTTTCTTTTCGTGTTGTTATGCCATACCTTTGACCCATTAAACATATTTTTAATCAAATCACAAAAATTTTAGTGTGGTTAATCTAATAATAAAATTTATTTACATGCTAATTATATTACCTTGTATTATATAATCATTGTTATTTTCATTCTATTGGTTTCCCAGTGAACTATTTGCATCTGTCATAATCTTTATCAAATTCTCCATTCTCAGAGTCCTGTAACACTCTATAGTGTCGTTCTATAATCTTAATATTTCAGTCTCTATTATCTTGTGTTATTCACTGATAGTTTCTTTCATATAAATATTTTACCATCAGAAAGATTGTGTCCTAAGAACGAAAACAGGGAATATGTTTATAACCATTAGTAGATTTCTAATTGATACTATATTATTTGATTCTGTTTTGTTTCTGAGTTACTATATATATTCAACAAAATATATAGCAAATTAACTCATTGTGTGTTAATGACCATAACATTCTGGAAAAAAGTATATGTGTGTTTAAAGACCTAGAAAATAGATCAGTTTTCTCAGCATTTTTATATTTTCATAAAAGATTTGAAAAAAAGTCTCTGGGGTTGAAATTATTTCAAAAGTTTTAGGATTGTATATAAAACAGTATTAACATGCTCTTTTGAGCATGTTTCTTGAACCATAGTTAAGTGAAAGGTGGTGTGAACCATGTGATAAATGATTACTTCACATCAGACAACCCAACTTCTAAGCATGCTGGCTTTGCAAGGATTTATAGTTCCCTGTCTTCCTGCCGGAGTTACTTCTGCTTTCTGTGATGCATTCCAACTAATCTGGAGGTTAAGGCATTTCTTGATCATGGATAGATCAGCTTGCTTCTCAGCCGTAGAATTCTTTATAAAATTCCAGAACCTGGGCTAGAAATTGACTTAGGGAATCCAATAAAGTTGCAAGTCTTGGCAGTGATCCAAGCTAAATTTATAGACTGGAAGAAATATGGGCCTTCCATTGTTCTCCTTTTCACCTTTCTGGGATTTCTTTTGTGTCTATGAGAGTGTGTGAGTGTAAATTTATCATTTTACTGACACAAGTGTAAATAACCATTGAGGAGATCCAGTTAAAGAATTTTCACTTTGGATCTTCTCTGGTCTTTCCAAACTTTCACCTAAACCTGCACCAAGAGTGAATTTTTCTTCTCTCTCTGTAGGATGTTGATGTCATCAAATAAGAAGTTGTTCTTGAAAATTAATCATGCTAGTTTAACAGCTGACATGCATGTTTGCCAGCTAGGTGCAACTCCCCAAATCCTGTCCTTCCCCTGACTCGGAGTCTTCTTTTTGGGACATGATCTGAGAAAGTGTGATCATATATGTTGTTTCTCTTCATTCCATGACTGGCAGTGGGGGAGCAAAAAGAATCTCAGAAGTATATGAGACTTCAGTTTTGTGTGTGTGCCTGATGCACTGTGTTGGCTGGAGATCCCAGCAAATCCCTCTCCTCCCCTCCCCACCATATCTGACCATTGAAAATCTGTCTTGTTTTCACAGAATGGGTTTGCTGTTGTGAGGCCCCCTGGCCATCATGCTGAAGAATCCACAGCCATGTAAGTACCAGGGACTGTTGCCCATCTCCAGGCACCACAGTTCTTGGCGGTCACCTGCCCCGTGCATGTTTCTCAAGCCTCTAATTGTTAGCAGATGGACCAAAAAACTTGCGAGGTACTCCCAGAAGCAGATTTATGGCTTCAGAGATCATATAGCATTAAAAAAAAGTTCTGAACATTATTTATAATGGTTTTCCTGGATGATTTGCTTTCTTATTTCTCTGTTCTTCTCTATTCCACAGGGGGTTCTGCTTTTTTAATTCAGTTGCAATTACCGCCAAATATTTGAGAGACCAACTAAATATAAGCAAGATACTGATTGTAGATCTGGTATGTATTCCTGGCCAGAGCTGCATTTTCAGTGACTCTAGATAAAAAGGAGTGGATTTGTATTTCTCTGTTAGGTTTTCTTGCTTTTAGCACTTGAAAACAACTGAAGGGTGTGTTTCCTTTGAATGTGGAAACTCATTAAATTCAGGATTGTAGTTCTGAAACCATAAACATTCACATTTCACTTTCATGGTGTTAACTGCAATTTAATGAGAAGAAGGCGCAGATCAGGGCAACTTTTATGATCCTTAAATGAATTGATACTTCCACAGTTAAAATAACCCAACAGAACCTGAATTTACTTTTCCCTGCAGAATATGGACTCGATAGTCAGATGTGCTGGAAAGAATGCTGTTGCTTTGGTAACCAATTGGCCACTTCCCCTGGTCAGCAATCATGTTGCTTGTTGTGCAACAGTGGTATTATTAAAACAAGTCAGCATGTCACTCTTACTAAAAAGATCTCCAATCTCAGATGCCAGTTTGGGATGATCCCTTGCAGAAACCCTGAATGATTGAAAGTTAGAGACATTAGATTCATCTTATATTTTAACATGATGCATTCTTACACAATAAAGTATAATTTGTTTAACAAATGATTTGTTTAAAAGCAGATGACACTTGGCATATTGTCCACAGTATATTCATGAATAATGAGCTGGAGATCTGCCGCATACAAAAAGGACCAACCCAGAAAAGGGCAAAAGAGAAGTGAATGGTGATTTATGAGCCCAGTTTTCAGTTTGCCTCCAGTTCACAAGGAGGTGTAATAGGTTGTCTGACAAAGCATAGACAGGAAATGAACCCTGGCATCCAAACCGAACCTGGTACATCTGTACTTAATTAATTTTTGCAGGTGATAAAAGATTTAAAGGCAAAATATGCTAAAGGTTTTTTTTTGAAGTGCAAGCCTTAATAGTCTAAATCTTGTTCATATCTGCACTCATAATTAAATCTTATTGAAAGTCATGGCCTCACCCTCCAGCCTTCAAATTCAGTTAAGCAGGCACACCATAGGGTTGAGAGAGCACAACAAACAAAACCATGTGAAGAAATGCTTAGTTAAGTTACAATGAAGATAAAAGAAATGGAAGAACAATACCCATTTTTGTGCTTCACTAGAATGAATGTTTTTCACACACTATATTGAAGGATTCCTGCAAGTACTTGGGAGTGAAGAATATTGAAACCCAACTATCCATGTATTTTCCAAACACACCTAAGTCTCAGTGTAGGTCATAGTTCACCATTAAAGAAATGGGTTGAAGGCCTAGATATACTATACCAGCAAGATGTCACAATTTTACAAAAATGAAGACGTCAGTACCCATTTTCTCACTCATATGCAAAATGGCAGTTAAAATAATTGTTACTGTTCTGCATAATTTGTAAAATATTAAAATTTTAAAAATAGTATGTTCCTGGTTCTCTAAGTTCTTTGCCAGAAAGCTAAGCTAGAAACTTAAAGAAAGGATAGCAGATAAAGAGCAAAGATTCTGGGGAAAGAATTTTTCTAAGCTTTCTAAATCTGTCAAAATTTTGTAAGAAGGTGATTGGTCAACTGTTTGTCTTATCCTTAAGGATCTTTTAGTGTCTACTTTCTAAAGAATCTCCTCTGCTACCATTTTATGGTTATAAGATGATAGTCAAACACTATTAAGAGTCCCCTTTGAAAACACATTTGTGATGTCTAAACTCAAAAATAGTGAATTGTACAAGAGAATTGAAAGCTAAAATGCCTCCCTTGTGATAAATGGATACTTTGTATGTCAGAGGATTTATATGTAAAGTTTTGTTTTTGTACATTAATACAGTATAGGAATAAAAGACTGCTGGAAAAATCGATACGATTTATAAAATAAGTTACTTGGTAGCTCCAAGGAGTTTCCTGTAAGCTTCCTGGCCTTTGATTATGTATTTGCTCCATTATCCAATCATAAAGGATACTGATTTCCCAACAGGCTGTACTAGATGAGAAGTTTTTGCTTCAAATTCTCTAAATATATGGAGTTCTGTCCAAAGGGTTGCCTCTGAGATCACCACCAGCCCACATATTCTTACTTTCAAGTCTTCCAAATTCTGCAGCTGCAGGACTACTTTGAGGAAATTCCTGTTTCTTCCAGCTGCTGAGAAGGAAGTTTTAAAGTGCCACGTGGCCTTGAGACATCCGTTCTCCCTGGCTGACAGGTCTATTCTGCAAGTTAGCAATGAAAAAGAGGTGAAGGTTATTTAATAGCAACACACATACACACACATACTCACTCACACACATACACAAAACAAAACAAAAAAACACTTTATTCCTGCATATCCCCAAAGTCATTGTTAGCTGGGGTGTGTGAACTAACTCCACAAATTATGGCACCAATAGATGGCAAAGGTACTCCTTTGTCTGGCAGTTTCAGCATTTTTATATGCTTAGTAAATACAGAGCTAGAGTTCTAATTCACCTCCTACTTTGTGTCACAGCCAATTTCAGCAGTGTTGAGTATTTTAGGTAAGAATGATTCCAGTTGATCTGTGGAGCTCATTTATTCCATTTTTGTTTATGAGTGAGATCCCAAACATATTCAGACTGGTGTTGAGAGGGAGCAGGTGTACTTGCTTTTCAACTTGCAAAAGACTGGCCATTGTGTTCAGGGGATTAACTTGTCCTATGAGTAACACCGTATGACTCAGGTAGCTTTTAGGTAATGTGACTTTTATTTTGACAAAAATGCTTTTTAGGCTGTCTTTGTAAAGGGAAAGTTAATTCAAATGTCCTGAGATTTGGCAAAATTGCATTGTTGATCAAGTACATTAAGAGCTTTATTACAAGTTTCTGTACTAAATAACTAGGAGTGATAACATTAGCTGGTAGAATATATGATTTATTCAAAGCTATTTTAACCTAATAGTGAAAATATACAGGTTCTAAATCCTTGTACAGCATCAGTGTTTGTGGTATGCTTTTTAACCAGTAAAATATTGAAATGATTTTCAGCATTTCCCCACATATCTGAGATACAAGGTCTATTTTGGGGCTTTTAATGATTCATTTTATTTCATTTCTGTAGTAATTTCTCACAATCATCAAAAATTTTCTTATCTTAGTTTATTATATATTTGTTGCCATGCAAAAGCAAGCCTCAGATCATAACTGACCAATCAGTACTTTGAATATTTTACAACAAGAAAAACAAGACAAAACAAAACAAAACAAAACAAAAACCAATGATATTCTTAAGGCTATACTGTAAGTTGTATCAAACAAAAGACATAATTGAATTTAACCTTTATCAGTAAATATTTGGTGAATATGAATACAGAATCAAGAATTACCATAGTAGAATGGATTTATGTATTTTAATAATAATGTCTGTTGAAAATCTTACACTGTGGCAGGATTTTATTTCTTACTCAGAAATTTATGCAGTGTAAGTACCCAACACATTTTTCAAGAACAAATAACTTTATATCTGAGAGAACATATCATTTTATATTTAATTGTTTTAAGTAAACATTTACAGTGTCCCTAGAGAGACAAAAGTAATCAAAACAATATTTTTCTGCTGTTCGAATTGTGGATGAATTTATGCTCAGCCCAAATGTGTCTTGGAACTGATTAAAATTACTGCTGTATAAGGGAAATGCAAATATCCCCTTAATGTTGTTTTTCAAAATACTTTATCTGTGCATTTTCTAGATATCCAGTAGACACAAAACACAAAAGACATTGTGGCTTTAATTGTTCATCCTTGTTTACATAAAGAAAAATAGTTTTGCTATGACCTCCATCCTTTCCTTGGGATAGTCAGAAACCCAAGAATTAATACTCTTTGACTAAGTTATGTTTTTTTCCCGATGATATATGTCTTTAGCTGAAGCAGCTTTCTGGAATGATATGTGTCTGCCCCAACATTGTAATTTATTTATTAATTTTGGATTTGTGTAACATTCAAAAAGGCGAAAGGACTATTGTATGTCTACCACATGGATGGCAAGCTCAATGCAGGTTTTCAGAATTCACCAAAATGAGGCTATGATAGTGTCTAGTGAAGGAGTGCTGGGCTGGAGATTGGTTTGAAGACAGGTCATGTAAACTTCCTAAGGAGCAATAATGACTGATAACTTACCTTAAAGGTTTGCCAAGAGGATCAAAAAGATTCTGAATGTAAGTTTCAGTTAACTGTATAGGTTAAGAGTTTGACCCTTGGAATAGGAAGTAGATCAAGACCTAGTCTTGCAACTTATTTCCTGTATAGTATTAGTAACTGAAATTCTCTGAGCCCCAGTTTACTTGCCTTTTAATTATTAAATAATCCATACAAGATAATTACATAGTGTCTGACTTAAAAATTGTAGGAATCATTGTTGACACTAGTGTTATTCTTATTGTATATCTTACTAATATAAAGTAAGTATGTAGTTACAAGTTTTTAAAACTTTTAAATAACAGAACTAGAAACTATATAAGTTTAAAGTATAGAAGCAATATTCTATTGAATACAAATATATAAATTATTCATGTTTGTAGTGGCTCTTTTTTTATTCAGAAAATATTATGAGGCATATTAATTGAGTTTATTTTTTTTTTTACACCTGAGGTCTTTCAGTGAAGACATTCAAAATAATGCTATTAGTTCTACTGGCATTTTCATTTCTTATTTCAGTTCTAGCATGGATCTGTATCATACAACAGTGAGAAAAAGAACTTCAAGTTTTATATCAGGCTATTGTTTTTTCTTTTGAGTGGGGAACAGGACTGGTATAGGGAAAGGAAAAAAGAGCAGGAAGAAGGCTGTAAAGAAAGCAATGATATAATATTGAAATTAGGCAGATTGCACAAGATTGCATAAAACCTCATGCCATCTTTCTTCTTTGGCCCAAATAATTTAAGAGCTAATGAGCTCATGCTCCTGTGTCTTCGACTCTTGTGTTACCATGTTACCAACATGAAATATGAAGTACTTTTTGCATCTGGCTTCTCTTTTGAAGTGATTCTAACTGCGGAGGGATTGCTAACTGAACTGAATGCTTCAAGAAAGCCAATTTATTCAGCTGGTTGTAAAGCCTTTGACCTTAATGGTGGGACTTGGCAAATCAATGCATACACGTATGTTTAGTGTTCTGTCAAGAATTGTGAAAATGCTCTGTAAGCCATAGATCCTTCTGCAAAATACTAGTTTGTAGTTTAGTTTAAACATTAGTCTTTTTTCAGAGGCCAAAGAGGCTAGTTAATTAAGCCTGAGGGGTTATGAACTGTTGGCAGTTAATAAGTCATAAAATTCCTCCATAAAACAGGATGCGAGATTCCATCACTGAAGCAAAGAGTACAAAGAGCCGGTGTATAAATATCTAATTGTACCAAAGGACTGGGCTTTCTCAATGACTGCTCATCTGGAGTCTCCAGGGCATGCTCGCTGTGGTTTCCTGATTTTTAGAAGCCAGTTTAAAAAATGAGTGCATTAAAGGGTAATTTGCCTGAAAGTTCAGGAAGTAAAGGGGGTGGTGTGGAAGCAGGCTGAATGGGAGAAAGAAAAGAGGAACATAGTGAGAAGACAGAAAATGAGAAAGAAAGTGGAGTAGAAAGACAAGTAACTAGAAATCGGAAAGGTTGTCTCCACACAAAGTTAGACATCACTGTATTTGTCGTCTGTTTTCTTTTCCTGTAGGATGTTCACCATGGAAACGGTACCCAGCAGGCCTTTTATGCTGACCCCAGCATCCTGTACATTTCACTCCATCGCTATGATGAAGGGAACTTTTTCCCTGGCAGTGGAGCCCCAAATGAGGTTCGATTTATTTCTTTAGAGCCCCACTTTTATTTGTATCTTTCAGGTAATTGCATTGCATGATTACCCCTAATTTTCTTGTCCTTTGCTGGTGTTTTAAATTACATGAGATTACTGAATTGTCCCATGGGACCAAGAACCAGTGTAGAACAAGTGCATAACCCAGAGCACTGTTTGTCAGGGAAGGTTGGGCTGATTTGGTATGTTGTTTGATGTTTATTTCAAGAGCCCGCATGTGCTTGTTTTCCTGTCTTCTTGCTTTCTTCCATTTGCCCTCTTCTCTGCCCATTGTGGTGTGTATTTCTCTTCCCAGGTTGGAACAGGCCTTGGAGAAGGGTACAATATAAATATTGCCTGGACAGGTGGCCTCGATCCTCCGATGGGAGATGTTGAGTACCTGGAAGCATTCAGGTTGGTACTTCTTTCTCTCTGAAAGTGACAAATTGGAAAATAAATGTCCATTGAAATAACACCAAATATGAAAGAGAAATGTAAATTTCTAATTAAGGTAAATTATTGCTCAAAGACACAGAGGAATATTTCTAAGAAGAAAAGATATATCAAGAACTAGTTTTAGTTATACAGGTATATTGGCCAATGGACTATTTTCCCCATTCCTGCCCAAATGAGGAGAAAAAAAGATTTTATTACCAAATAGTTCTGTCTGGAAAATTCTGCCTATGTTAACATATGATGTGATTTTTATAGTAGACATTAGCATATTAATTGCCCTGAAAAGTCCTTCATTACCTATTTAATTTTGTTGAACAAGCGTTTCCCAAATTTCATTGGACCACGGAATCACTTTTAACAAAGCACCATTTAGCATTCTTGGTTCTGAGGAGCTCACTCACTTTGAGAACATTGGCCTAGGCGATCTCATTTGATATTAGGGTAAATGACTTTTAAATGTTTTTCCTTTAACATTAAAACATCAACTAATTAATTGACTGCTTCCAGTTTCTCTGAAACAAAATTTATAAAATGTAACATTAAATAAAATGCGTTCACATAGCATTCTGCTTTTGTCTAAGCAAGTAACTTAATATAAATAAGAAAAACAAAGGGTTTTCTTTAAGAGAATTTTAAAAACAAGTATTTCTTCTCTGGAATTTAGAAAATACTGGTTTAAACATAGTCTTTTTTCAGAAGCTGATAAGTCCAGTTAATTAAACCTGAGGGACCCCCATTGCAAGATTTTAGGAAGAGGTTTTAGCCTATTAGTAATGCATAATTTCTTGAATTTTTGATTGAGTTGAAAACAAAACAACCACATGAAAAAAAACGTACAGGTGTTGATAGTTTTGAAATTTGCCATTGATAAGTTCCCATGAAGAAAATCCTGTTGATATATTTGAAACTTAAGGAAATAATGGGAATTTTTTAATATATACGTTATCGCACTTTAGGTTCTGGGATACATGTGCAGAATATGCAGGATTGTTGCATAGGTACATATATGGCAATGTGATTTGCTGCCTCCATCCCCCCATCACCTATATCTGGCATTTCTCCCCACAATATCCTTCCCTAACCTCCCTACCCCTCACTGTCCCTCGTCTATTTCCCCCCTACAAACCCCAGTGTGTGATGCTCCCCTCCCTATGTCCATGTGTTATTGTTCAACACCCGCCTATGAGTAAAAGCATGCGGTGTGTGATTTTCTGTTCTTGTGTCAGTTTGCTGAGAATGATGGTTTCCAGATTCATTCATGTCCCTACAAAGGACACGAACTCATCATTTTTTATGGCTGCATAGTATTCCATGGTATATGTGTGCCACATTTTCCTTGTCCAGTCTATCATAGATGGGCATTTGGGTTGGTTCCAGGTCTTTGCTACTATAAACAGTGCCGCAGTGAACATACATGTGCATGTGTCTTTATAATAGAACAATTAATAATCCTTTGGATATATACCCAGTAATGGGATTGCTGGGTCAAATGGAATTTCTATTTCTAGGACCTTGAGGAATCGTCACACTGTCTTCCACAATGGTTGAACTAATTTACACTCCAACCAACAGTGCAAAAGTGTTCCTATTTCTCCACATCCTCTCCAGCATCTGTTGTCTCCAGATTTTTTAATAATTGCCATTCTAACTGGCCTGAGATGGTATCTCAATGTAGTTTTAATTTGCATTTCTCTAATGACCAGTGATGATGAGCATTGTTTTGTATGTTTCTTGGCCTCATAAATGTCTTCTTTTGAAAAGTGTCTTTTCATCTCCTTTGCCCACTTTTGAATGGGCTTGTTTGTTTTTTTTCTTGTAAATCTGTTTTAGTTCTTTGTAGATTCTCGATATGAGCACTTGGTCAGATGGATAGATTGAAAAATTTTTTCCCATTCTGTTGGTTGCTGGTTAACTCTAGTGATTGTTTCTTTTGCTGTACAGAAGCTCTGGAGTTTAATTAGATCCCATTTGTCTATTTTGGCTTTTGTTGCCAATGCTTTTGGTATTTCAGTCATGAATTCCTTGCCTGTGACCTGAATGGTTTTGCCTAGGTTTTCTTCTAGGGTTTTTAATGGTGTTAGGTCTTATGTTTGAAGTCTTTACTCTATCTGGAGTTAATTTTAGTGTAAGCAGTCAGAAAGGGGTGGGTTTCTTTTGTCCTGTGTGTCATGGATACTACTTTATCTCATTTGAAGTACATTTCTCATGAAAATCAGGTCCAGGAAACATGATATAAAACAGCTATTTAAAAAATACATTTAAAATAAATATATTTTGCTTGGTATTCAAGGTACAAAGAAAAATTCTACCCACATTTTGGAATGTGTACTTTGGAAAAAAATATACACAAAGGCATCCACAATGTTGTAGGAAAAAAAATGGCTGGAATAAATTTATCTATTGTAAACTTGGGTTGTCTGTGAAGATATTTTGCTTTAATTAGGAGCAAAAGAAAAAATTATGTTAAAAAAGTAGAAGTTTTAATGTTATCAATTCTCTTTTTTAACATCACAAATATTACATTTGCAAATTTCACAAGCATTAATATCTTGTAAGAATTTTAATGGGATAATAGACTTCAATTTTATGTTACATATGAATTTAACTGTCTGCCTTCCAAGTTAACCTGGTAACTTGCATGATGCACATTAAATTCTCAATCTTACTGCAGCATATAATCTGATCCACTAACTTTAATGAAAAATTCATAGATGTTTAAAATTATTATAATTCTATTTTACTATAGCTTTACATAAAAATAAATCATGTGTGCACAGCAGTAAAAGGCAATTTCTATTTTGTGCCTTTGTTTTCACATCAGAAAGTGAGTGGTGTGAGATTTTTTCTTAAGAACCTCTTTGAACTCAACCATTTAATTAAATAATGTAAAAGCAGATACTAAGTGCACATATTGTTTTTTGATTTAAATGGTAACTGAATTAAGTACTCCTGAATGTGGTCAACTGTTCTCAAGAATGGCACCTTCCCTTTGCCTGGAAGGTAGACACTTTATATTAGCAAACTTTTCTAAGCTTCCCAGTGTGTCTCCTTTACTTGAGTTTAATTAGAGAAGTAGAATTATTTAGCTAGGCTGCAGAAATTTGAACTTCTGGCTTTCAATGTCCATATTTATTTAAGAATCAGATTTAATTTATAATAATCCAGCCACTTTTGAATTATCCCTTGTCTGCTCTTCATCATTTATAACAAGAAGTACTTGTAAATTTGTTATGGATAGGTCAAACAGGTAAGCCATTCATTTCAAAAATCATCATTGAACACACATTACATGCCAGGCACTGTGGTAAGAACTTGGAATTCAGAGCTGTTGCTACTTTCGGGGATCGTTATACAAGTCATACTTACTGTTCTAGAGAACTGAAGTGCTTAGAGCAGATAAAATGATTAACTTGTCTTGGTTTCAAGAAAGGTTCAATCAAGTATTGTTCAATGTGTGCTCCTAAAGATGAGTGGGAATTTTAAGGGAGAAAAAGGAAATTGGAGTCAGGAAGGATTCATACTGACTAAGCAGAAAGGGTAGACTGTGAAATGCATGGAGTCATGAAATGATCTTTCTCTGTTGGCTCAAGAACATGATGGTGGGATTGGTAGAAAGAAAGTGAATTTTGCATTGTAAACTCTTATGCAGACAAAAGATAGCCTATCTATATACGTATACACTCCTTTGCCAATTTGGGCTTAGTCAGACAGACTCCCAAATAATTTTTAATGTAGTATTATTTTCTAAGCTTATCCTTAATACAATTCTTGTTTCCTAGTATTGAACCAGAGGAGCTTTTCGGCATGTGTGTGTGGGTGCCAGAAATGGAGGTGGGGGGAAAGAGCAAATGGTTCCTTTTCTTTTTTCTTAGTTTTTAATTGTTTCTGGACTGTCATAAGTATCTTTTGAAGGAAAGCCTCTCTCCTTGTCAAGATACATTTATAGTGGGACATAAGATGGCTGCTTAGTTTACCAGCCAGAATTTGTCATATATATTGCCTTTGTGCTTTCTATTATGTGCTTTTTCTATGGCAAAAAAAAAAAAACATAGACAAATCAAACATTTCACATATACTATAAGCTTTAATATAACATTAAAAATAGAATAGAATAACCAAATTATTTAAAATGACTAGTTATTTCTTCCAAGCAGTTGTCATTCATCTCTGAAATAATTGAAGGGTATACTTAAGATTCTTCACGAGCATTCTTAAAATATTCAGTATCAAATGTCTTTTATGTTCAACTAAGATACATTTCCAAGGTTACAATTGTATAAAATAATTATGACTATTTTTATTGAGGTCTTACATTCCAGGTCCTAAATTAGAAACTTTATAGACATTATAGCTAATTCTTAAGTGCTTTATATAAGTCACAGAACTACTAATTGGAAGGTCAATAATGTGAACTCAGTTTATGATACTGTAATCTATGCTCCTTTTGTCACACCACATTGCTACTCTCTTCTTTTATGACTTAAAATACTCAGGAGTAATAAAGCACAGTGACTTTTTACCAAAGTGTAAGACTTTCGTGCCTACATAGCCTCCCAACCTAAGGCACAAATACCTAGTGAAGAACATGGCAGAGAAGAGCTATTGAATGGTATTTGGTTGAGTGAGTCAGTAAATGAATGAATGAATCAGAGAAGAAAAGGGAATAATGTTGGCAATAGGAGCATTGTCAAGCTGAAATATTAAGTGAACCTAGCAAAAGTCTGAGGGAACTACCTTGGCTTCTCAAAAACTATACTTTAAAAAGAACTCTGAACATTTACTCATTTTATTATAAGAATGTCAGACTTCTCTTTATTCAACAAATCTTTTGTTGAATTCCTGCTAAGCAGTCTGTGTTTCAGTCATTTCAAAACGACGTTTCAATGGTTTTATACTCTCCACAGTCCATCGATGGGAATTGGGTACATCATATTTTCTAAAGACTAATTCTTTAATAT